ATTTAGTAATAACGAAGCTATACTGAGAGATGTGGGTTTAGTAACAATTCAATGAGTCAACAATTTGGGTTAACACCGTAGTGTCACTTATATGTCAAGTGAATGTTAAAACTTAGGTTGTCTTTTATGTCATTCGGTTTCGACACTTAAACGTGGTGACTGAAGCTTCAAAATTCCGTCTGCGATTCACCATCAGACTCTTTTTGTTTTTAATTAAAAAAAGTCCGATCCGGCTCGCCGCCACTGGCGCCAGCCGCTGGGGTTCCTTTTTTTTTGAAAAATGGCCGCCCGAGTGGATATTTCCGTTCGCCTGTCATCGCGTTCCTTAAAAGCGACGTCCTCGACTTGTTTACCCAAGAAAGGCGGGATTTACGAAAAAAACCCATAATGCAGACAAGTTAGGTCAAGTTGAAAAATAACCTGAACACATGTGTAGCACTTGTGGGTTCGGGGTGTTGACGAGGGTGCCACCCATGCCTGAGAACCACCGTCCCAATTAGAACATTCCGATTCCGAATTCTTCTTCCACTTCGCCGAATAAATAAATCTGCCGTCATTTCCGCGACACTTGCGAAACGCGCGCACCTCTTACTCGTATTTTTATCGTCGACGTGACATATTACGTCATCGCGTAATGGCACGTCTTCGGTCCGACCTCTCCCTTCTTCCTCTTGTTCCTCGGCATCTTAAATAACGATTTAACGCGAGCCGACGCCACTCTTATTACAGTCGCATTCTTCTCTAACCTTCTTGATCTCTCCAATTGGCTTTATTAAGCTCATTGCTGGTAATGGTGTAATTCGGCATTTGCAAGGTGCTGCGTTCGCTCCAAATTACATAATTAAACATGGTGTACAAATAAAATAATTGGCTTGGCCCGGTGACCAGGGGTTCTCCCTACAAGTCGTGGATTTTTTTGGTATTAAATTCTTATTAAATGGGTGTAGAGTACCAACCATTTAAAATTTCAAGGACAATGTTACACTAAATTAACCCGAATTTTTTGTTGCTATTAATAGACCCGATAACCGCTTCAGTGCAGCCAGGACCGACGAGACACCAACACGCCAGGTAGGACGCTTTTCCAAAAACTGTGTCCAGACCCTGAGAAAGTGAGATATTCGATGAACTCTAGGAGCGTCGCGAATGTTATCGTTTAATTAGTCGATTTACATTTCCATTTTGTCACATTCCGAGGCTCGGATCCGCGTAGGAACTGGTTTTAATAATAGAATTCAGATAAAGCGACAAACAAGATAACGATTTAATGGCCGGACCGGCCTGCGTAGACGGAAAAAGTCAGCCTGATTGATAGGAAATTCAGAGGCGGAGGTGGGAAGAGGCGACGGCAGGTTTTTAATCGGAATTACGATCAAATCGTGTCATATCGGCTGGCTTTCTGGTTTGTTAAGTGGCATGGATTTTGCAGACGCTTTGGGCCAAATTGGCTTATTATTTCGCAAGATCGAGCGGCGTTGAGACGAAAATGACGCTAACGCAAGAGGCGAAGTGACGCCATTTCTAGATTGGTAATTTCTTGACATAAATATCTTTTTTTTTTTCGTTTGTATTTGTCGTCTCTAGACCGATAATTATCGATTTAGGAAGCATTTTTGAAATTCAAAGTGTGGTTATTCCCGCCACAAATTGATGACGTCAGTGAAATGTCTTGGCAGGACTTGTTTAAAAAAATTGGGTAAAAATTTGTTTATGCATCCATTTCGAAAATTTTATGACGTCATCATCAAAACGTCTTACTCATACGACTCTTTAAAAAGATCAACAAGTCTAGTTACCTAAATTTGATTTTAACAAATTGGTTTTTTATGATAAAAAAAAATGTTGGCAACACTAACTTGTTGTTAAGGTTGACAGGTCAAATAAGGTAGTCAAACGGTTGTAATGTCATTATTTAAAAATTAAATTTCATAGTCTACTATGTATATTTTTTTTTCAATCATATTTGATTTGGATAAATTTATTGTACATTTTTGTTTTTTTTTAGTTAATGTTAAAAAATACTAAAAAAAAATGACAAATTAATTCAATAATAAAAAGCGACAAAAAGGGGCCAAAGAAGAGGAACTAAAAAAAGGGAGTTAAAAAACGACAAAAAGAACAGTAAAAATTAAATGCTACAAAAAAGTTTAAAAAATATGACCGAAAAAAGACGCCAAAAAAAGTGAAAAAGAAAGCTGAAACAAAGGCGGAGAAAAAATGAGACAAAAAAAAATCATAAGAATGGGAACATAAAACGCAACACAAAAAAGAGCAAAAGGAGGCGACAATTCGACTAAAAAAAAAAGGAAGTCAAAAAAAACACAAAAAATACAACAAAAAAAACGACTAAAAAAGGTCACAAAAACTGCGTCCAAAAAAAATGCCCCAAAAAAAAAGAATGGATAAAACAACAAATAAAGGTCACAAAAATGTGATCAAAGAGGACGACTAGAAAAAATGTGACAAAAAAGTGATAAAGGCTACAAAGAAGCGATAAGAAAGTATAAAACAACGTAACAACAAAAAAAGCGACAAAGAAAGGCCACAAAATATGTGGCAAGAAACACGGAGTAGAAAAGACAACAAAAAAAGGCTATAAAAAAGGTAAAAAGCGACAAAAATGGGGCTATTAAAACCATGCGGTAAAAAAGTGACAAGAAAAGACTACAAAAAATCCACAAAAAGGTTACAAAAGTATAAAAAAAGAGGCGACAAAAAGGGCCACAAAAAATGCAACAAGTGAAAGGACAACCAAAAAAGCGATAAAAAGTCAAAAAAAGGCGACTAAAATCAACAAAATAAACAAAAAATACGACAAAAAGAGACTACAAAAAAGGGCCCTAAAAGGGGCAATAAAAATGCAAAAAACGCAATAGAAGGGACAAATGCGACGAAAAAGGACAAAAAAAAGGAAAAAAGGGGCGACACAAAATAGCCACAAAAAAAGACAATATAAAAAACGTGATAAAATAGTGACAAATAAAGGCAACAAAAAAGCGATAAAAAAGGTTACAAAAAAACGACAAAAGAAAGCGACTAAAAACAATAAAAAAGTCACAAGGTACAAAAAAGCGGTACAAAAGATTACAAAAACATGTATCAATAAAAGGAGATAAAAACAGGCCACAAAAAATGTGTCAAAAGAATACGACAAAAAAAGGCAGTAGAAAAAACAACAAGAAAAGGCCATAAAAAAGGAAACGACAAAAGAGAGGTCTTAAAAAATGTGAAAAAAAAAGTGCCCAATAAAGGATACAACAAAAAGCCGACAAAAAAGGCGTCACAATTCCACAAAATAAAATGCGAATAAAAGAAGCACCGAGAAAAATGATGAAAAAGACGATAATAAAGTGCAAAAAAAATGGCGACCAAAAATCAACAAAGTAGGTCCCAAAAATATACGACAATAAAAAGCTAACAAAAAACGACAAAAATGCAAATAAAAGGGAACAAAAAATGCGATAAAAAATACAAAAAATCCAAAACGACAATAAAAGGGACAGAACAAAGTTGCCATATACGACGTCAATAATGGCCACAAAACACAAATAAGACAACAAAAAAGTGCTAATAAGACGGAAAAATAAGGAGGTCTGACCTAAACTGTCCTGACCTGACCTGAGCTGACCAAAAAAAAAAAACAAAAAAAAAACAAACTAGACTACAAAAAAATGTGTTCAAAAAGGCACCAAAAATAGGCACAAAAAGGGCAACATATATAGAAACATAAAACACAACAGAAAGAAGGAACAAAGGGAGGCGAAAAGAAAAATTCGACTAAAAAAAGGGAAGTCAAAAAAGCCACAAAAAAGCGACTAAAAAAGGCCACAAAAACTGCATCAAAAAAAGGACAAAAAAAAAGGATGGCAAAAAAATGGTTATAAAAAATACGCCCAAAAAAAGTTTACAAAAATATGGCGATAAAAACATGAAAAAGATGCCACAAGAACAACAAAACGCTAGCAAAACGGTAAAAAAAACGCGACACAAAAAGGCTACAAAAAATGTAACTATAAAAAAGGCGATCAAAAGATCAAACAATCGAAACATCAAAAAATCGAAAAATTGCAAAATTCTGAAATTCAAAAATTCCCAAAATTGAAATGTTGGAAAACTAAAAAATCGAAACATAAAAAATACATATTGAAAAATCAAAAAACTGAAAAATCCAAAAATCCAAAAATTCGAAAAATAGAACTAACGAAGGACTGAAAGAGCGAAAAATCAAAAATTGTAAAATTTAAAAATAGAAAAATCAAAACATGGAAAATTGAAGCATTGAAAAATTCAAAAATCTAAAATTTAAAAATCGGGAATTCAAAAATCGTAAAGTCGAAAAATCGGAAAACCGAGAAATCAAGAAATCAAAAATTCAAATTTTAAAAAACTGAAAAAGTGAAAAATCGGAAAATCGAAGATCTTTAGAACCTATGGTCATTTCATCATCATTTCATCAGTGGATGGACCTATTGATCTTCCAATTTTTGTATTTTTGGACTTTTTAATTTGAAATTTTCCCATTTTTCTAAATTTCGATTTTTCTATATTTCCGACCCGACCTGACCTGACCTGACCTGACCAAAAAAGCAACAAAGAAATAAACAAACTAAACGACGAAAAAATGTGTCCAAAAAAGGCACCAAAATAGCAACAAAAATCGATTAAAAAAATGCTACAAAAACAACAAAAAACCTACAAAAAAGTTGTTAAAGAGGAACTCTAATTAATATCGTTAATCCCTAAAAGGGTGTACTATCTTATCAATAAGATACCCCTTTTTCTTAAGGCAATTTTGGGAAAATCCTCTCTAATTATAGAACAAATTTTGCTCCAAAGTGAATTAAAATGTACAAAAAAAAAACAAAGGTTTCATTTGCCACCACCAAAATTTTTCTTTTAATCTGTGGCCAATCTCCAAAAATTCAAAGTCTCATCACATTCCTTCCCACATTCAAAAAGTCTGAATTTCCAACTGTCACCTGACCTTTCCTCACCACAAAAAAAGTTGGCTTTTCCAACCCCTTCGACTATTTCTCTCCCTGTCAAACCAAACAAACTTCAGTTCCTGGAATCCCGAAAAATGGACAAAAAAAACATCACCAAACAGAAAAAGAAGGAACCCACCCCTCAGAAATCCCCCCCGATCTACCGCAACCCCTTCCTCAACTTCCTGCAAGAGTACCGGAAGAAGAACGTCGGCGTCAGCGGCAGGGAACTAATCCAAAACGCCGGAGAACTGTGGCGCAAAATGACCGACGCAGAAAAGGCACCGTACTACGAGATGGCCAAAAAAGCCCCCCGCCGCCGCCGCCACCGCCGCCGCAAGCGCCGCCAGCACGACGAGAGCGACCGCAGCGGCTCCCGGAGCTCCACCACATAGAAAATTTTGTGTATAAACAGGGACGTCAATAAAACGCTTTCCTTATTTTTCCAAAAAATCTTTTTTGTCACGTGTATTTAGGCTAAGTACTTCCCGGAGTTGTCCGGGAAGCAAAAAAACGCACATTTCAGTAAAAGGCTGTAATGGCACCAGAATTTTGTTTATCTTCTACTCGAGCGTTTCTTCCGGGTCAGCTGGGGGCCCTTCTTGCGGCGCCTGGGGGCGTTGCGCGCCAGCTCGCAGTAGGGCGCCTTTTCGCTCTCGTTCATGCTGCGCCACCTCTCGGCGGCCCTGGAGATGAGCTGCTTCCCGGAGACTCCGGCCCGCCTGGAGAACTCCTGGACGAAGTTGATGAAGGGGTTCCGGTTGGCCCGGACTTTGGGCTTGGACTCTTTTCGGCCGACTCTCGTCGAGGATTTGCGTTCGACGGGGGCGGCTTCGAAGTCGGCGTTCATGCAGAGGTTTTCGGTTTTGACCATTTTCGGAAAATTAAAAGTGACAATTTGACAAATATCGTCGCCAGGAAAAAGTGTTTACTGCGGTTGGGCGAAGTGGGCTGGAGGGTCAAGGTTTCCAAGGTTTTTTTTTATCATCGCAAACTTGACTGGGAGTTTGCGTTGTAAATTTTTTAGAGCGAATCGTTCTATATTAACAACCTCAAAATGTCACGAAGCGGAGGCAAGCACATTGTTGCACCATTTCTAATTAGACACGTGCAAAGATGGTTTTACAATCGCGTGATTCACACCGGAATTCCTGGAGATGGTGGAGGACCTTCACAGAGGAGTGATTGGTATTTTCTTTTGACTCATTGGAGTTGTCGAGTAGGTATTTATTCGGTGCTGGTTCAAGGAAACGTGGATATTTCTTAGGGTTTTCCGATGTTTTTGTTGTTTTAATTTTGCTCTGTGAGAACGAACAAAAACACGACTGATTAATTTTTTTTTCTTTTTTATTAGTTATTACTAATTATTATTATAATAATAAGTTTGCCGAAATATTTGTTTCATATTTAACACTAAATTACAAAATAGTTTTTCTTCAAAAAAAAAATTGAAAATTATAATATTGGAAAAAATGAAAATCTGAAAAATCGGTAAATCGAAAATTTGATAATCTAAAAATCGAAAATAAAAGTCAAAAATTCGAAAATCTAAAAATCGAAAATCGAAAAATCAAAAATTCTAAAAATCCAAGACTCGAAATATTGAAAAAGAAATATCGAAAATTGGGAATTCTAAAAACTCTAAAAATCCAAAAGTAGGCAAATGGAAAAATTGAAAAACCGAGAAGTCCAAGTTAAAATAATTGAAAATTGGAATACCGAAAAAAAATCAAAAATTCCGAAATTCAAAAAATGTAAAAATTGAAATTCGAAATTTTGAAAATTGAAAACTTGAAAAATCGAAAAATCTAAATATTGAAAAACTTGGTCGAAAAATTAAAAATTCGTTGAGTCAAATATTTAAGAAAACCAGTATCCGAAAAATCGGAAAACCGAAAATTCGAAAAAAAAATGGAAGAACTGAAGAACTAAAAGGTCGAGAAATAGAAAGGAAACAAATTGAAAATTATAATATATATTGAAAAAATGAAAACCTGAAAAATCGGTAAATCGAAAATTCGAAAATCTAAAAATCGAAAATCGGAAAACCGGAAAATCAAAAATTCGAAAATCCATATTTTAAAAAAATCTACAAATCCAAGACTCGAAATATTGAAAAAGAAATACCGAAAATCGATAATTCTAAAAACTAGAAAAACCTAAAAGTAGGGAAATGGAAAAATTGAAAAACCTAGAAATACGAATTAAAATAATTGAAAATTTGAATATCGAAAAATCGAAAATTCCGAAATTCAAAAAATGTAAAAATTGAAATTCGAAATTTTGAAAATTGAAAAACTTGGTCGAAAAATTAAGAATTCGAAGAGTCAAATATTTGAGAAAATGAGTATCCGAAAAATCCGAAAACCGAAAATTAAAAGATCGAGAAATAGAAAAGGAAACAAATTGAAAATTATAATACATATTGGAAAAAATGAAAATCTGAAAAATCAGTAAATCGAAAATTCGAAAATCTAAAAATCGGAAATCGGAAAACCGAAAAATCAAAAATTCTAAAATCGATATTTAAAAAAATCTACAAAACCAAGACTCGAAATATTGAAAAAGAAATATCGAAAATCGGGAATTCTAAAAACTCTAAAAATCCAAAAGTAGGCAAATGGAAAAATTGAAAAACCTAGAAATACGAATTAAAATAATTGAAAATTTGAATATCGAAAAATCGAAAATTCGGAAATTCAAAAAACTTGAAAAATCGAAAATTCGATGAATATGTATTTGAGAAAATGAGTATCCGAAAAATCGGAAAACCGAAAATTCGAAAATCTAAAAATCGAAAACCGGAAATTCGAAAATCGAAATTACGAAGAATCCAAGAATCGAAATAGGTACGTATAAGAAAAAGCGAAATATATCGGGAAACCCTGACCCGTCAGAAAATTGAAAAAATTGCAAATCGGGAAATCCAAATTAAAAAGATTGAAAATTCAAATATAGAAAAATCGAAAATTCGAAAATTGAAAATTTTAAAAATCGAAGAATTGAAAAATTGAAAAATCGAGAAATCGAAAAGCAAATAAGTTAAAAATTATAGGTATGAATCAAGTATTCGGAAAACGAACATCCGATTAATCGGAAAACTGAAAATCCAAAAATCGAAATTTTGATATCTTCGAAATATGTACGTAAGTTATGGAAAAATCGAATTATCAAAAATATAAAAATCGAATTTCGAAAATCGAAAAAATAGAAAAGTCTTTCGGAAAATAAGAAAACCGGTAACTGAAAAATCGAAAATTGAAAAGAGTGAAAATTCTAATATCGATAAATGGAAAAATCGAGAACTCGAGAAATCAAAAAATCGAAAAGTAAAAAAAAAGAAAATTCTAAAACGTGAACGTAAAAATTGAAAAATCGAAAATTCAAAAATTAAAATTTTGAAAATCGAACTGAAGAATTGAAAGAAAAATGAAAATCTGAAAAATCAGTAAACCGAAAATTCGTAAATCGGAAAACCGAAAAATCAAAAATATGAAAATCGATCATTCGAAAAATCTAAAAATCCAAAACTCGAATTATTGAAAGAAAGAAACATGGAAAGTCAAAAATCAAAAATTTAAACTTGAAAAACCCAAAAGTAGAAAAATGGAAAAATTGAAAAACCGAGAAGTCCAAATTAAACTAACCGAAAAATCGAAAATTAAAAAAATATAAAACATCAAATTTCGAAAATCGAAAAAATAGAACAGTCTTTCGGAAAATACGAAAATCGGTAACTGAAAAATCGAAAAGTGAAAAAAGTGAAAATTCTAATATCGGCAAATGGAAAAATCGAGAACTCGAGAAATCGAAAAATCGAAAAGTAAAAAAAAAGAAAATTCTAAAACGTGAAAAACGTAAAAATTGAAAAATCGAAAATTCGAAAAATTAAAATTTTGAAAATCGAACAACTGAAGAATTGAAAGAAAAATGGAAACCTGAAAAATTAGTAAACCGAAAATTCATAAATCGGAAAACCGAAAAATCAAAAATGTGAAAATCGATATTTCGAAAAATCTAAAAATCCAAAACTCGAATTATTGAAAGAAAGAAACATGGAAAGTCAAAAATCAAAAATTTAAACTTGAAAAACCCAAAAGTAGAAAAATGGAAAAATTGAAAAACCGAGAAGTCCAAATTAAACTAACCGAAAAATCGAAAATTAAAAAAATTGAAAAATCGAAATTCAAAATTTCCAAAATTGAAAATTTGAAACATCGTAAATTCGAAATATCGAAAAACCCAAAATCGAAAAATTTAAACTTCGATTAACCAAAATATTTGAGAAAAATTTGAAAAACGAAAATTCGAAAAGCTTAAAACCAGAAATCGAAAAACCGAAAAATCAAAAAACGAAGATCGAGATTACAAAGAATTGAAAAAGCCAAGAATCGACATACGTGTAGGAAAAACCGAAATATATCGAAGAGTCTAAAAATCGAAATTTTAAAATCGAAAAATGGAAAAATTGGAAAATCTAGAAAACGAAAAGGAAACAAAGTAAAAATTATATGAATCAAATATTCGGAAAAAGGAACATCCGATAAATCGTAAAATTGAGAATCTAAAAATCGAAAAATCAAAAGTTCGAAAATCGAAAAAATAGAAAACTCTATCGGAAAGTAAAAAATCGACAACTGAAAAATTGAAAAGTGAAAAGATTCAAAATTCTAATATCGACAAATCGAAAGATCGAGACGTCGAGAAATCAGAGTCGAAAAGTAAAAAAACTGAAAATTCTAAAACCCGAAGAATGTAAAAATTAAAAAATCGTAAATTCAGAAAAACCAAAAGTCTAAAATTCGAAAATCCAGCATTCTAAACTTGAAAGATCCCAAAAAAATGGAAAAATTGAAAAACCGAGAAATCCAAGTTAAAATATATAATTGAAAAATCGAATATCGAAAAATCCAAATTCAAAAAATGAAAAAATCGAAATTCGAAATTTGAAAAACTGAAAATTTGGAAATATCGAAAAACCCAAATCCGAAAAATTGAAAATTCGATGAATCAAATATTTGAGAAAAAAAATTGAAAATGTGAACTTAAGATAATTTGTAATCTGTCTACAACTCAACTCATTCACACTCCAGTATTTTTAGATTTTTCAATTAAAGTTAGAATTTATACTTATGTATATGAGAACAAATATGCATAATAAATATTTACTTACACTGTAGGAGTTGTTTAAATATGACTTCAGAGACGCTAAAAATATTAATTAAGAACGATCTTGACGTCTAAATAAGACGTAATTAAAATAGCTACATCGTTTGGAAAAAATTACCACCGTTTGCTTTTCATTATGTCTGGACAATACAAAGCGAAAACTTGGAACTTAAATCAACTGTTGTTATTATTTATGTAATTCATACACGTGCACACAGCGCACTCAATATTTTCCATAATTTGACACATTAGAAGGTATGTTTATTTTCGTACAATAG